TTGCTTTTACAATCTAATAGATAGAGTAGCTGTGGGTTCCCCTTTAGCCCCCGTGTCAGCCAATTTTTTCATTGGTTAAAGAACTGCACTGGTCTTAAAGTACTATGCTATCATAGTACGCTGGACAAAATTGTTCTGGATTGACGTTTTACAGCAGAAAATTAAAATAAACAGTGACACAAATAATTTTGTGATTGTCTTAAACTGTACTAAATTCCTCACTTGGAAACTTATTTTGATATGGATCACGCAAGAAAAGCTTGCGTTAATCCTTGTCGAAATTTGGTAACTGAGTCAAAAGTATTCAAAATCACATGATCTTTGAGAAAAATGAGTCACATTTGGAGTGTTGTTTTGCAAAGAAACTCTCTACATGCCGGTGGATTTTTTTGTCACGATTTTGACAAGAAAGCATGAGAAAGACTTACAACTTATTTGGCCACTGAAATACAATATGATCGTAGAACTCTGAAGTCTTAAAACTGTTCTTGCCACTAGATCAGTCTTGCGCCTGTTTTGAAGATGGCTGCCTTTATCGCCAGTTTGTTTTTTCAATATCTTAATACCTGCTTAACTTCACTATGGAACAGAGGAAAAGGGTCAGTTGCTATTTTTAGATATATTGTTATCTAGCAGAGTGCCTGTGATCATCAAGGCCTGTGTATCACTTCTGTTTATTTTTAAAAAGTCTAGCACCTAGTGACTAACGAGGGTTTTCATAATGACATAAAAACCTTTCTTATATTTTGAAACCCAATATGTTGCCTAAGTGGCTGACAAATCAGTTAAAGTTGATCTTAGTAACAGCTCAAGGACTGGGTCAAAGGCTTTTACAGGTAAAAATAGTTTATTTGTTACATTTCTGAAGGCATAAAGGCAGTGGAACTAAATTTAGCACGCTGTTAGGTTTTAACGTCCTGAACATTTTAAAGAAGAATTTTATATTGGTGCTTCTGACATGTCTTGTGACTTTTACCAGAAAATAGCCATTATTTGAGGAATTGGTGGTGGTTTTTAGTAATATAATATCCAACAAAAACAGGTTTTAGATGCAGGGCTATCATTTCCATCCTCTCACGTTTGGAATGACCGTCCCTTTTTTCACAGAAAAATTTTATAAAGTCAAACATCACGTTTTTTAATCAAAATTCGACTTTTGATCATTTATTATCTTCTAAAACCGAAATTATGGAAGATCATTCCAAACGTAGCAAGGTAGATAATTTAAATTTATATGGCAAACACTCATTTACTGATCAATAGAATGAAAATTTGCCGCCAATTTGCCGATTCACTTAATTTAAACAAACTAATCATGTGACAGGTCAGGTGATGAGAATAATATGTTAAGGCAAGTCAGGATGCTGAGTTTTATAATCTGGGAACATTTCAGCTTGGTGAAACAAATATAACAAGAGATATAGCTGCCCAACCATAATTTTACTTAACATTCCTGACTAAGGCCTTAAACTGCTTAAACTGATATATCCAACTGCCATTTCTATAACTTACCTTATATTAGTTATTGTTCTTCCTACATAGGAAGATAAATTTCATTTATTGATAATTATTAACAAATATTGCAGACTTAAATGTAAAAATTATCTCTTCATTCAAACTTAGAAATAAGTTTAGTCCTAAACATTTTGTTCCAGATTCTCTCAAATCGCGTGTTGTTTATCAGTTTACTTGTGTGAGCTGTGGAGTTCGTTGTATTGGTGAAGGCATTGTAGCACACGCGTTAATGAGCATCTTTTTCGGGACAAGAATTCGTAAGTTTTTTAACATCTCAATTTTTCTAAGAATTGTCGAGATAATTGTGATGTTTCTAGTTTTAAAACTCTAGATCATGCCAATACTTTTTCTCGACTTAAAAGTGAGAGTTTTTATATTGAACAGGTGAAACCTGAACATGCAGTATGTTTATAATGACTGATGATGATATTTGAAAACATCGAAACATGTTCTGAAAGTTTAAAAGCGTAGTGTTTTTTAAGATATTTGTTACACTTATGCTATCAAGACCGTTTCAAAGGATATTCCATAACAGTAATTCTAGATCAAGGCTGGTACATGGTATGTGAGCAAACAAACAACGCTTAGAGAGATTGTGGGTTATCGGCGAATGCGTAACGAAGATGAAGCTATGAAAAGAACTGTTGCAGTCACTGTGTTGAGTGCAAATTACCGAACACTTTCCTTTTCGCTATAAACACAAGGAGTTCGGCCAATTATATATATTCAAGGCAGCCACATACAGGCCTCGACTGCCTATTTCTTTTTCAATGAGCTGAGTGGCCTTTGGTCTACTTGTAAAGGCACCCGTGTGCCTCAGTTAGTTTTCTTTCGTAACATTTTAGCTATTTCCCTTTTTTACCGCATTTATGTCACATGGGTTTTCCGCTAGCTATCACGTTACTCTAGCTTAAATATCGCTCGCGCTTGTAAAATTTCAGAAGGCTCACAGAAATTCGACGGGAACCACCAGTTATTGCTGTACTAACTCAGAACCTTCCAAAGCGTTCGCCAACACGTCCTTAACAGGATCGCTGTAAGAGTTTTACTTAATAAACCTGAGCCTTGTGGAACCTGTGAGTCACTTCAGTTTCTTAAGTTTCACGGATCTCTCCACTACCGGAGCTGACGTCGCTGCAGTCGAATTTCTGTCCAAGAAGAGTCGAACCTCTGCTACAAGTTTCGACAACAGGCACAAACCGCCAGCCAAACCAGTCCAGTACCCTGGAAACAGTTGACTAGTCAAGTCAGTCAAGCGAGGATCACAAGTAAGTCCGTTCCTTTCTAACTTACGCTTAATACGAAAAGAAGAAAGAAGAACATGTGCTCGAGGAGGAAGCTAGGAAAAGAAGAACACTGTTATGCTGGAAGCGACAAACAAAGGAGTAATCGTCCACTTATCAAGTATTGAAAACTCAAATAGATTACGAGTTTAGCTAACTATTTAGTATACAAACAGAGCCATTACAAAAAACTGTCTGTGACTCATCACTTTCCGAATTCCCGGCCAAAAATTCGCTCCATGAGCCAGTCACAAAACAAAGAAGAAACAGAACCCAGTGTTACGCCGGACGAAACTGCCAATACTGGTTTTGGCGAAATGTTTACCCAAGGCACCATCGAGCAACAACAAGAAAGAGAAATGGCGGTTTTACGTTTTCACTGGAAGTAAAAGTTCACCTCTTGATTGACGGCTCTATGGTGTGTATGCAATCGACCGAGACGACTTTCGCGGGAATTTCCTATATGGGTGTCACGAAGTGACTACTCACTTGATCAACATTGTTGTTCTGACAACCAAGCATTTTTCGTATTAGGTGTAATCCTATTTAGTTTTAAGTAAACATGAACCACGGAAAAACATGGACCGGTTCCAAAAAGCGAAAACAGGGAAGAATGATGGAAAGTACATCAGTGAGTGAAGAAGCAAAAGTTCGCCTCGCGGATGAAGCTATAGCCATCGTATCAAGATCAAGTCAAGAGAAGAGAAAGGTTCTGTAAAAATTTGAGAACCTGACAGCAATAACAGGGATGTTGACAGAGACTCTTCTGATGAGTCTGATATCGATGAATCGTTGGATTCATTGAGACCCATTGGAAAATAAAAAAATCGGGAAGCGAAGTTGCGCTTTCAGTTGTTTGTTTTCTTTGCCCAGCTGCTCTAGCTTTTGTATCTTTTTCGTCTTGCCCATTTTGCCAGACCAGCTTCAAGAAAAACTTAGATACAAGGTTTTTTTGGAAATTCATGCGTCAATAAATTTCACCAGGAGGTTAACGGTAGTAAACTTTCCCTGCACTAATTGGCTCAGTTGTCTGAGAACCCAATTGAAGGCTTTTGTGGGCGGAGTTTGGTTGCGAAGCGAGAGATTTTTCTTAGCGCTGTTTTCTCGAATAAATTTTTTCGCTTGAAGCAGACAAGAGTTATAACTCAAAGGGAATTTGTTCAATGGCTTTCAGATTTGGACAGTAGCTAATTTAACATACGTGTATGAACCACAAAAAAAATATCTGCGAATTGTTTATTTTGAAGTATTCTTTCTCCGAGAGCGATTTTTGTACAATCACAACACATATTTTTAATCCTATTTTGAAAATGTTCAGTAACTTTTTACTGCAATTGAATATGCCAAAACCTAGACACGTTTTTTTAACGCTTAGGGTCCTGAAACCGAGCAAAAAAATTAAATTGGCGAAAAACAAAATTCGCTTTGACTTGTAGCTTTCAAAAGGTGATTGAGGCACTTGCATTTAGTGGTTGTGAAAAACTCGATAATTCATTTCATTTCAAAATTCTTGATATAGTTTGATAGCCAGCTATGTAAGCCTTAATTTGATATAGGGGTTTAGGTATCTACAGCTTAGACCGGACGCGCTACATCACTTGCACGCAAGACACCTGAAAGTATACGCTAACCTTAACCGGGCTTTGAACAACCCAGCCCAGGAGCTCCGCTTTTAGGCTTGCCTAAATCTATATATTAAATTTCATCGCTTTAATTTCACTAACCTCTAAACAGTAACACTAACCTGCTAAGTTTTTGTAAAACTGCAGTTGAAAACAAATGGTTGTGTCGGTTTCGCCCTTAACTTCACGGCAATGAAATCGTTCTTGTAAATACTCCCCTGCCAAATTCTGCTGTTTTCTTTGTGTTAGTAGGAATCTCGTAAAATTTCTCCTTCTGATACGGTAAGAAACCAAGAAACCATTTTACTTATTACTCTTGCGACCTGAGAAGTGGATAGCACGCACTATCCTGAGATTAAATAACCAATCAGAATGCATGAAAAACGCTACCCTGTGGTTTGGTATATGCTGATGCAATTTTTTTTTTTTTAAATCGCACTTTATAACTTATTGTTTTAGTTTTGATAACTGGAAGTTACTGAAATACTCATTACAAATGATCATTTTTAAACCAACACTATAAGGTTTGTCGCTATTAAAAATAACCATGGATTGAATTTTCCTTTCACAAAAATTCAAGGTGAAGTTCCCTTTGCTGAGGCTAAAGTTATGTGTTGTTCCTCGTTTGCTGTCGTCTGCCGTCTCAAGTCCTATACTTACACCCCCCATGCTTTGGAGGATCGCGATTTTACTTGTACAGTTGAAGAGTATCCAGACGTGATTGTAACAGTCCCAGCAAGTGTCGTCCGTGAAAACAAGGAACTCCAGTTAACTCTGAAGGTATGCTTATCGAGTTTGTCATGCAAACTTAATTGACTACAGAATTTATGAAGCGCTCTCTAACCGCGACCTCTAACTGGTTTTAGCGAGATTATAACCAGCACAATGCTGTACTACCACAGTACTCATTTGTAGAACTTAAATATACCATATCGTCAAGTGTAACAACGTATTATAACAGCGCACGCGCTAGTCCTATCTAATTCCTACTGAGCCATCATGAACGACATCTCTATGTACGCACGGCCGTGCGTATATAAGATGATGTGTGCAGTTTCAATTTAGCTGCAAAATCTCTGTCGAGTTAGTGCAAGTTCCTTTTGTTTAAGTTTCAGCAATGTGAAGATTATTCTGAACAATTCAAACCTTACTTCAAGTCTTTGACTTTTGCCAAACTAAGATGTCTGCTTAAAATTGAGTATTTTGACTTTGTTTGTATACATTTTCATTGAGCAGTTTTGACTTTGTTTGCCTACATTTTCATTACAAATAATTCGAAGAAGCACATGTTTCATTGACAATTTCGAAACCAGGTTAAGCATTTTCATTCTATGCGAGTACCGATATTTTTAGGGTAGGCTATTTTAATAGGATTGCTGAAATGTGGAATGGGCTGCCACTGTCAGTCCGTCGGGCTTCAAGTGTTTCCTACTTTAAGAGGGGTGTGAGAGACTATATCTCTATTGCTGACCATCCTTATGGCACCTTTCCAAGTGAGTCTTAGTGTAAATCTACTGCCGTTCTATCACGACCGCACTTCACGCTATCTAGTCTGTTGTAGATTGTGAGCAGCCTATAACAGTGCGTGCTTGGTAACAAAACGGTGGACGCTTCTTTGCGTTTTCTAAGTGTATGTGAAGAGAATTTAGGTTATGTTTTGAATGACTAGTAGATTTATACAGAAACTATTAGATTGCGTGCTCTCGACTTCTATGCGTGATATGTATTTTGAGTTTGCAATCTTATTGTTAAATAGAAAGTGAGTAAAAACGTAGCAGAACGAGAAGTTCTGTGGGAACACGAGCCACTGACGGTGGTTTGCATAGCTTGTTTGAGTTCTCGTAAAATTTTAACGAGCGTTTTACTCCATAGAAACATCAAAATCAGGCATTTGAAGGGGACGATTATTACATTTTGACACGTATAAGAAATGTGATCAAGCTAAACCATTTTATGCCAGTTTCTTTATCCAGTCCTTTTTATCACTAGAAAATAAGAGCAACCCTTCGGTTTTGGTTGCTATGTAATATTATTATGGTACCTAATGCATAATTCCTATTCTACGGGAAACCCCATTTCCAAAAATAGCCCGTCGTTTAATTAATGTATATTTTGGTTGTGGTTTCACTTTAGGTGCAAGAAATCCCACGGCAGTGGTATGAGGATAGTGGAGTGATCGTTGGACCCGTCCTTCACATCACTTGCTCTCCCGAAATTCAGCTTTTTGACCCAGCAACAATTACTCTTCCATTCTCACTTCAAAACAACAATGAATGTGCGAAATTATCGTCTGGTAATGTAAGGGTGCTAGTGAATTCACATGAAGAAGATGAAAATGAAACTAATCCAAGGGCAGATTGGGAAGAGATTACAACTCAACTGCCAAGACCAGCTGCTTTAAGAAATGGGGTGGTGACATTTCAAGTGACACATTTCAGTTGGTAAGCATCGGAGTGACGTCATTGTCTATGCACTGATAACATGACACGGCACAAAACATTTATCATGGATCAAAATTAGGAGATTTGACCGTTTTCTCTTTATCTTCCCAGTTTATGCCCTTTTTCCTTAAAACTGTAAACACGTTGAACTTGCTTCAGGTTCATGATGTGTTATGTAAACCCCATTCAGATTAATGGGTGGGGTTCAAGGCCTTCGCTAACTATGAACACTTGTAATTTCAAGAGCATTAAAGCAATCAATACCAAGTTAAGTTACTATTCGAAAAATGCGTTTGGAATTAATTTGGTATGAAAGGGAATATTCCCATGACTTTTTGGACAAACACAAAGGTGCAGTTCGGCTGCCTGTTGTCTACCGTCTTGTCTTCGACCAAAAACCAACACTGCTTTGTGCGGAAGAAATCGGTCGAGGAAATGTGTCGTTTTACTTTACTGGCTTTGATTTCTGTGCGCAAAATATATTACTTTAACTTACCGAGTTGTGTAGCTCGGCAGATGGCCATGNTGTACAACCTCGGTTGTTCATGAAAAATGATGATTTTAGCAATAGACAGAGGTTGAAAGTCAGCTAGTTTAGTCATTTAAGGTATATATATGAAAGTGACGGTGTCGAACGCACTCATGATCTTTGATTACTACTAGTTTTTAGATAATTGTAGCTTTATTAGGGGTGGGGAATGGTAAATGCGAGACTTTGCGAGACGACGAGATTAGCGTTTTTCTTTGCGAGCCCGAGACATTTTCCTTTTTTCAATTGCGAGACCGAAATTTTAAAGTGTTTTGAATGCGAACTCAAGACGTTCAGGTTCTAAGATGTTGTGATGTCATTTAACTTTACTAAAAAAAAATGAAGAAATCGGTACTTCGCGACTTTCTTAGCCTTGAAAAAAATCGAGACTGCGAGACAGCTTTGTGAGAAAAACCGAGTCTGGGAGACGCACATAACCTCTAAAAAACGAGACTGGACCCGTGAAATTCGGCGAAAATTTTGCGAGACCCATGGTTTTTGAAGGATCATTCGCCACCCCTTTTATTTATCGGTTTTTGTTTAATCTGTTTTTGAGGTTTTCCAACATCATTTTTTTGCAAAATCAGTTTGGACCAGCTATAAATCTTTTAAGCCCCATTGTCATAGCTTTAACTTTCTGAAACTTATAATGTGCAGAAGACCAAAGACGCCGCATTTAATTAAATGGAGTTAGGAAAAAAATCCGGTTACTCCATGGGCATGCCCTTGCTATCATATGATGCATAGGTATATCCAAAGAGGTTTAGCGTGAGTGATATAATTGTTTTGTTGAAAACAGGCACAAAATGTCGACTTTTCCAACAGTTTTGTTACCTCACCTTCAGTCAATTCTTCCTCGAAAAAACGTCTCCTCTGGCCTCAGTCAGGCGTGGTATAATGCTGAATTCCTACGGAAGCTGAGCCAATCAACGCGCCTGAAATATATCATACATTTTGATAAAGTGTATAATATAAATTAACTGATGAGTTTATGTGACCATCTTTTTGCAGGTATACAATATTGTGGGAACGTTCAGCAGAACGAAATAGGAAACGCAAACGTGGTGCTTTTCAAATGACTGGGCGCAAAAGTGGTGCTCTTCAAATGACTAGACGCAAAAGTCCCAATTTTCGAATTACTGGGCGCATCCCACAAGCAGGATGTTTCTTTGCATGTTTGTGCACTACTAACACTGAATATCTACCACTTGGAGAGTATTGCTTACACTGTTTTTGCTGTCCACTTCATGTGGAATCTCGAGTTAAAGAGATCATACGTTCTACTGAAGGAGCAATCCTCTACGGAGGTGGAGAATCTTCGGAGCCGCTGTGTCCAGATGACGTGATACATATCTCATTACTGAAGGGCCTAGAGGCAGATGGGCACACTACAGACGACGAGACACAACTGAGGTGAGAAAATAGGTTAATAACTCTAAGAACAAAGAAGCTGTCACTTATAAGGGATACAAACCAGGTAAGTCAATTTTATCCAAAACAAAATTCCTATGTATGAAATAAACCAAACCAGTGTGGTTGCCACTGCCGTTTTATCCCTAAATTTGGAAAAAGTTCTTTGGATTTTAAGATGATTTCCGCAGAACATTCGAACAATCATGGCAAAAATTTAGTTACCAAAGAAACCTCATGGCATGGTAATATTTTGAATACAGTTAAGAAGAACTTATCGAGACTTAAGCTCTCAAGCTGACCCCGCGGGAGAAAATAGAACTTTAAGTTATCCATATTTCAATCAAAACAGACGTTTGGCGTTCGTTAAAACACAATAACACACGCTTTAAGCATTCTCACGAGGTTTGACATTAACTTTCTGGAGAATGCTTGGGAATTAAAATCGCGGGGTCACTAAAGGGAGTTGTTTTAAATAGTATTCCAGAGGTACCGTGCTATGAGTAGATTTTAGTAAGTAATTTTTGCCCTTATTGCTCGAACTTTAAGCGGAATCCGTCTTAAAGTTATTAGAGTACAGCTACATACGATTGAACAAGCACACGAGTTTTAGTTGCGGTCGACAAAGTGGAGAACGCATTCTAATCTTGTTGTTACCTGTGATCTTGTGGGTGTCCTGAACGGTTATCTGTGATCTCATGGGTGTCCTGAACGCAAGCCAGACCCTTTCGTGCTATACATGTATGTATGTATGTCTGTCTGTCTGTCTGTCTGTCTGTCTGTGTATGTATCTGGCTGGCAGAGTATTTAATGACGTCACATTTTTGTGGCGCAAAGGATTCTACATGCATTCTACATGCAATCTACATGCAGTAGGAGTGAAAACGAATGGCATCATCCCAAAGCAATTGCAAGTGCTTACGAGGTGGTTTGGTTTCTCGATCGTTTGCTCGTATGTTATTATTCTGGACCGTGTAAGTCAACACGACCGTGGCTTGTTTCGTTGAGATGCGAGGTGGCGTGCTTGTGTTACATAACCGAGACAATTATTTGTCTTGTTTATGAACACAGCGTTCAGTCGCGTTGGCTTTTGGATGTTAACCGTGGGAACAGCTATATTTCAATGGCTGTATATATACTTCGATTAGATTTGTTGATTGGTTCCAGTGGCGACAAAAAGTTCAACCTATATATCCAGCCAAGGTCGAATATTGTTGCTGGATTTATGAAAACAGTGTGAAAGAAATCAAGCGGTTTTCATTTATTTTCACTCGGGCTTCCGTAGGAGAGCCCGAGTCGTAAAATGCAAGCGTTTTGGTCGCCAAAAGGATGGTCATGGTCCCAGGCGTTCCATGCGTAGACCACGGAAACTGGGGACGAGAAACGCGACATTGCTCGCTCTTCGTGACAGAACGCGGTATTTTACGAAGAAAGTTTCGGTGAGAATCGTGCCTCATACGTTCATCTCGCATACAAAGATGTCGATCGTTTTGGAAAGGGTCGGTCCACGAATTATATTGCTTGAAAGCCAGCCAGGTAAGCAAAGGTCAAGCTCAAAACGTTCTTGTGAGATAACAACTTAGCCGATCGCGGTATGAGTTAAAACTACGAAAACACTGACCAAAAATAGGCAGTCAATGACTGCATGTGACTACTGCTGTTATTATTTAGAACATTGTAGTAAAACAAATCATATTGCAATGAAACGAGCTAAAAACCAAAACGTTTTTGAACTGGTAGCTCATTAAAAAGATGCAACTTGTTTCTTGCATCGCGCAATATATGTCGATCTCCAAATTTGTGAAGATAAGACTTTCAGTAACTTAAATTAAATATCTTACCTCCAAGTTAGTTGGCTTTCTAGTAGGATGCAGGAGGCAAATTGTGCGGGAAATTAAAACTTCTATAGATCGTTTTCACGTGATGTCATCACTTTTTAAAATCCAAAACTAAAGAGCCACCAAAGTTTTTATCCTCGTCAGGCATAAGAGGCGG